TTTTTATTTAAATCAATTCTACACAATTTCAAATCCTAATTATTTCATTTTCTCTCCCTCTCTCCCTCTCCCTCTCCCTCTCCCTCCCCCTACCGACCCACCCATTTTCTCTCCCCCCTCTCTCTCTATCCCTGCCGCTGCCGCCCGTCGGCACCGTTTCATTTTTTCGTTCCAGTGCTTGTATGGTGGTGCTCCAAAGGGCCCTCAGTTAAAAGAATTGGATCGTGGAGCGGATGTTGTGGTTGCCACTCCTGCACGAAGATGCGTTTGATTGCAGTGCCACCTCTCTAGGATCTGTAGTTTTGCTTCCTACCCAGACCTTTGCGCGAAGGGGCGATGAAGCTATGAGCGGCGGAGATCGCAGATGTGGCGACACAGATCATGGGGATGATGATGATTTTTTTTTGTTAGATGTGTAGTTTTGTTTTGTACGGTGAAAGGGCGAAAGGGTGATCTGTAGTTTTGCTTCCCACCCAGACCTCTGCGCGAAGGGGTGATGAAGCTATGAGCGGCGGAGATCACAGCTGTAGCGGTGCAGATCATGGGGATGATGATGATGATTTCTTTTATTTTATTTTTTTTGTTGGATGGGTGTTGGTGGTAGTGGTGGTGTGGTGGTCCGGTGGTTTTAGTGGTGTTTGGGTGGTGGTAGTGGTAATGTTGACTGTTTGGTGTAGTGGTGGTGGTGAAAACGTTGGTTGCAATGTTTGAAACAGTGATTTTGTTGCTAAGAAGTGTTGGCGATAATGGTGTTAGTGTTGGCGGTGGTGGTGCGTTTCTACGGAGTTGGTGGTGTTGGCGGCGGAGGCGGAGGCGACGGTGGTGTTGTGTTGGTGGTGGTCACAAATAATTTGTTGATTGTAACCAATAAATTGGTTGGTGTGTGACCAATAAAAAATAAATTGTGATCAATAAATACTGTGTGACCTAAGAAATTGTTAATTTGTAACCAATAATTTAATAAATTGTGNTGTAACCAATAAATTGGTTGGTGTATGACCAATAAAAAATAAATTGTGATCAATAAATACTGTGTGACCTACAAATTTATTAATTTGTGACCAATAAAAGTAATATGTGACCTATAATTTGATATTTTGTGACCATAATATAAGTTGTGTGACTTATAAATTTTGTGATTTGTGACTAATGAACAAATTGTGACTTCTAAATTTTTAATTTGTGACCGTTGAATGAACTGTAACCTATAAATGTTTTGATTTGTGACCTTGAAATTTTTGAATTGTGACCAATTGCATAAATCTGTAACTGTTATATATTTATTAATAAAACATATAATTAATTCATTGATTCATAAATACATTTTAATAAAAACCTGATATATGTATTGTTCCCTTTATCTTAATCCATGAGTGTCAGTTCAAACCCAACAAAGTCTCAAGTCTT